CTGCCCGCACGGCAAAGCCTGGCAAGCTACCCGTGACATATTTGATATGCCAAAAACAGTAACAAGAAGTCTCACAATGAAGGCATTACTGGTGCCCGCTTGAACAAATTGATGAACAACAGGAGGACAGTGCTGCAGTCCTACGGTGATTCTTCCTAAGCCTTTATTTTTTCTTTGCCAGCTCTGCAGTAGAAACATTTTTCTTTTACATTCCTCTGGGAGATAGCTAAGTTTGTTCATGTTTTAGAGAAGAAAAAACTGTCAGATAGAGAGTGTCAGGAAATACACTCAAATTAATATAGATTGAAAAGGGTATAAATAATTTTCAAATTCATTGATTATAGTATTAGGAGTCATATAATAAACACAACTCTTCAGAGCATTAAAATTACTTTTCCAGGTTTTGCGTATCAGACTGATGTTGGTACTTCTAATATCATTGCTTGACTTTTAATAATGATACCAATTTGATGACTCAGCTGAGTAGTGGAAAACAGATTTCAAAGCTTGCCCAGAGAGCAAAGTTCCACAGTTCACCATATTTACTGGTTCCACATCTGATGCTTTTAAAGTCCCAATAATTATTCAAAGAATTAATGACTTAATTACTATATCTCCATTTCAAACGCACAATATTATATTAATTATCTATGGCTATGTAACAAATTACCCCAAGACTTAATTAAAACAGTCATTATTTCTGGGTTGGGGATGTGGCTCAGTGGTAAAATGCATGCCTTGTGTGCATGAGACCTGGATTCAATCCTTGGTACAGCAAAAAGAAATATTTGTTATTTCACGGTTTCTGTGGGTGCCACTGGCTGAGTCTCTCATGAGGTTGCAATATGCCAGGACTTCAGCCTCATCTGAAGGACTGGCTATGTGAGATTTGCTTATTTGGGATTCTTTTGCTTAGTTTGACTCAGAAAGAGCCAGAGTTTCTCACTGCTAAGGGACAACAGCTCTGGGCTGGAGTGAAAGCACAGCAGCAGGGCTTTTGCCTTGCACACGGCTGACCAGGTTTGATTCTCAGTATCCCATGTGGTCCCCTGAGCACTGACGTGAGTAATTCCTGAGTGCATGAGCCAAGAGTAACTCATGTGCATTGCCGCGTGTGACCCAAAAAGAAAAGAGAGAGAGAGAGAGAGAGAGAGAGAGAGAGAGAGAGAGAGAGAGAGAGAAACAACAGTTCATGATTCTTAGACCTCACCATGGAAAAGCTTATGGTAACTGGTTTCTATCTAAGCAAGTATTCAAAGAATAATTGAAAGAGAGACAGAGCTGCAAGCAGGCAAGACAGAAGTCTGTTTTAAGAAACCTAATCATATAAGACCCATCTCATCACTTTTTTATATTATATTCTCTAGTGCAGTGTTTCTCCACCACTTTCCCAGGGTGGTCCACTTCCAATTTTGTCTCCTTCCTCTGCTGTCCCCACCCCACCATCCTACTATGGAAGGAAGACTACTTCCTTAATCAATTATGATTTTGAACTTCTTGGTGGAATAATTAGAAGGTGAACAGGATGAGTATAAAATATCAAATCTGTAACTTTTACTATTTTATAGGACATTTTAAAATTTTGTCCTGCAAGATAACTTAAACCTAAAGAGTTGTGACTTTTTGGAGAAGTATATGACTCAGTGAGTATATGCCTCACTTGGATTTGAACCCAGCACTGAAAAAATTTAAAAGAAAAAAAATTAAGAACTGAATTATTCTCTCATATGTGCACCAGCTGAACTCCTTTTATCCTAAATTTGTTTCTACTTGTAGTGATATTAAAAGACTAAGTTCACAGAATACTAGGAGTGGAGCAGAATTAACAAGTATGAGTAAATTTGATCAATTGGATTAGCCAATCTAATGATTAAAGGGTAAAAAAGGGTAAAGGCCCTCCCGTTGATCGTCGATTTGCTCGAGCGGGCCCAGTAACGTCTCCATTGGAGACTTTGTTGTTACTGTGTCTGGCATATCGAATACTCTCGGTAGCTTGCCAGGCTCTCCGAGAGGGGCGGAGGAATCGAACTTGGGTCGGCCATGTTGGCCGCTTGTAAGGCGAACGCCCTATCCGCTGTGCTATCGCTCCAGCCCAATGATTAAGCAGCAAATTAAAAGATCTCTTCCTGAAACAAAAAAATATGGACTAGTATCAGGGAAGAGAGTATATTAGATTGATATCTTATTTTCTTTAAGCATAGTCAAGGTCAACGATGAATATTAACATATTAACATATGCCATACAATTAGCATAATCTATTGTAAATGAAATAAGAAATTCTTCATAATAGATGGATACCTGCTATTTAATTTTCATACACCACCATACAACATACTGACACATTATTTTATACAAAGGATATTAAAATATAGGACTACATTCAACTTAGATTATAGATCTGATTGTTATTGGGCAGTATGCAGAACTGCACTATATCACTGTCCTCCCGTTGTTCATCGATTTGCTCGAGCAGGCACCATTAAGGTCTCCATTGTGAAACTTGTTGTTACTGTTTCTGGCATATCAAATATGCCATGGGGATCTTGCCAGGCTCTGCCGCCGGGCGGGATACTCTCGGTAACTTGCTGGGCTTTCCGAGAGGGACAGAGGAATCGAACCCAGGTCGGCTGCTGTGCTATCGCTCCAGCTGTAGGCAGTATGTACACATAAAATTGATTTTTGACTCCATTTTTTTACATCTGGATCATGTAAACCCTTGAATATATGAATAAATAGAATATTCACTATGCAACTCAACAGATATGAACTCATGATAACTCTTGCCTTACTCCTCCCATTTTCTTTTTTGAAGTGTATTCCCTACATCATGGCATTTCATTTAAGAATATTTTAATATATAACTCTAAAAATCAAGTAGTCATTTTGTATTTAGAACTTATGCATCAGTGTTCAGAGGCCAGTTCGGGGGTGCTTGGATGCCAGGAGAGGTTTGCTTCCAGTGGTACTTGGGGACCAAGCAATACCAGAGACCAAACCTGTACCTTCTGCAACAAAGCATGCACTAATTGAACCATTTCTCTGTCCCTGGAGTAAATAATTTTATTTATTTATTTATTTTGTGAAGCATGCGCATTTTATTGAAAACAAAATTTGTTTTGAAAGATATGAGAAGAGAAAAAAGAGGGGGATATGTGTTTTAGAGAGAAATAATCAAGCAAAGAAACAAGCAAATGAGATCTGATTTAAGAGCAAGTTTTTATTTTAATGTGTTTCAATGACATCATTTTAAAACAAAACCATAGTACAAATTTTCTTTATAATAGATAGCAACAATTCCTTAGTGTTCTGACTAATGAGTTTTAGTTTTGCTTGCCTTTTTAGAGTAAGAAAAATATCTAGGTAGTTGGTGGATCTAGGGGTGAATTTAGTTTTTAGGAGACACTTGACAATGAGGTTTAAGAAAATATATTTATCTGAGGAGTTTCTACTGGCATCTAGTGGGTAGAAGTCATAGATGCTCTTAAAGCTCAGAGTAGCTTCCTATAATAAAGAATTGTTGATTTCAGAATATTATATTGCACCTTTGTGGAGAAAGAGAAATATAGATATGTAGCAAAATGAATATGTGCATTGATAGAGACATATTCTTGAATAGTATTTATAAAGGGATAAAGTTTAGCCCTTCAAAATAGGTTTAATTTTCAGGAATGAGCGATACTAGGAACTGAGGATGCATCTCAGTGATAAGAATGCATGACTTGCATGTATGTGGCATGTGGCTCTGGATTTAACCCCCAACTCCCTAAAAATATTCCATAATCAAGAAGTAGGCGCCAGGGACGAATGGAGACGTTACTGGCTCTCGTTCGAGCAAATCGATGAGTAACAGGATGTCAAGTGATCAATCAAGAAGAGAGTTACAAAATATGCATGCTCTTTGAAGTCATTTCTTTAGTCACATAAAGGGCAAAAATAGAAAAGGCAATTCAGAATATATGATTATTTCAATAAAAATGTCTTAATAAATCACTGGGATTTCAAAAAAATTTTTTTAAGGATAAAGGTCAGTCATCTAAAATTAAGTAATGGAACATCTGTTCCAGGTGTTGGTAGAGAAAGTTTCATACGTGGGCAGCAGAACCAAAGGAAGTAATCAACAACATGTTTAGTAAATACAAGTAGAAAATGTGTCCAACAGCAAATGATAAATCTAGCAAAAATTATTTTGAATGTGCTTAACAATAATCTGTCAGAAATGGCTTTCTTTCATGTAAAACAGTGCTAAGAATGTTAATGCTTGTGACATATTTTTAAGATGAAAATTGATATTAGTTACTTTAATGCAGACAGAGCTATGCTCATTATTTTCCACACAGAACCCCTGGCAATAATTTACCTAGCTGCGCAGCAGTTCATGCAGATCAAAGCTGCATTATTTAAGTGTGTCCAGAGGGCAGATTTTAGCCTTTGTCTTATACTTTAAAGAAATATATATTTATAAGAAAGTTTGAACTCATTTAAACCCTCACACAAGGTCTACCTTATTTAAAATCACATGAATTTCTAATATTATCTGACAAGAACCCCTTCCCTATTCAAAATAAATGTGAGGGGTGTCCGGAACAACTGTCTGAATACAAATCTCTTCAAAATGAACAGCAGTGTTATTTCATTAAAATTAAACCCAAATGATGTAAACTGGATTCTGGAAAGAAAGAGGGGGAGAGAGAGAGAGAAAGAAAGAGAGACGTAAAAAAGAGAGAGAGAAAGAGGAAGAGAGAGAGGGAGAGAGAGAGTAGTTGCTATAGAATGTGCCTGGCTGCTTAGCTCACAGACAACTGATGAAGTCCAACTCTGAAATTTCAGGCAATTTGTATACCAAGCTCCTCCTTTTCTGTAGTCTTCTCTTCCATTGGTAAAATTCTTTTGCAGGGTCATGTAGGGATCCCACCCCTTCTCTGTGTTTTCACTCTGCAGCTCTACACAACTTTACACCTGAATGAACGCCAAACCTCTTGGATATATAAAGGGAACCTTAAGGAGGAATTTCACAGTTACAGTGCAGAAGCAGAGGGAAAGGAATTAACCAGCTCTTCAGACAAGCAAATCCTCTACTCACCATGCTTCCTCCTGCCATTCATTTCTATCTCATTCCCTTTGCATGCATCCTCATGAAAAGCTGTTTGGCTTTTAAAAATGATGCCACAGAAATCCTTTATTCACATGTGGTTAAACCTGTTCCAGCACACCCCAGCAGCAACAGCACGATGAATCAAGCTAGAAATGGAGGCAGACATTTCAGTAACACTGGATTGGATCGGAACAGTAAGTGTGTTTTACTTATAATTTTTTTTCCCTTTTGCTCACGTTCCTGTAGAAGTGTTTCATTGCTAACTAACCTGAACCATATACATTTTGCTAAACAATCTGGGAGCAATCTGCTGCATGTGCAGATTGGCATCTTTCCCCTAAAGTTAACAGAACTGAGTGATTTGATAATGCACTCACAGACTGAAGTTTTTGTCAAACATCCACAAAGAAAATGCTCCCAGGAGTTAAACTTTTTAAGGATCATGCAAAGTGAGAGTTTTTTTTTTAAGCGTTGTTTTAAATCGTTCAGGTAGTTTTCTGTTGATTTGAGGACATAGAGTTCTGATAAAGTATGTATAGGTAATAACCAAAGCGTGTGCAGAAAACCACAAAAGAAAAAAAAAAGGCTTTTAAGGGGAAAATTTCTCACTGACCAAATTTCTAAGTTATATGTTTTCAGTGTAATTTTGATGGTGGTCAATATAATAGGAATAAAGCTAAACATCTAGAGAATCATATTCTCCTAAGGTAATTCAAATAAGCCAAATCAAAATTTAGGTTATAATTATATGTTTCTGTGAGAGGCTAGGGAAACTTTTATGACTTTAGAGCTTTAAAATAATGATAGCACTACAATATTTTGTAGAGAGAACATTTTTTTCTGTGCTTAATTGACACACTAATTGGCCACTAATTGGCGGGATTCAATTTCCTCTAACTTTTGCTTTGTTCCTCTCCTCTAGAAAAGTTCACATGCTAATAATCAGGCAGAGAGAGAGAGAGAGAGAGAGAGAGAAAGAGAGAGAGAGAGAGACAGAGACAGAGAGAGAGACAGAGACAGAGAGAGACAGAGACAGAGACAGAGACAGAGACAGAAGCAGAGCGAGACAGAGATATAGAGACAGAGAGAGAAGCAGTGTATAGAAACCTAACACAGATAACTTGCTCTGTTTCAACTTCACTCAGCTATCAAAAGTAGCTTTGACCTTTGAAAAGTGAAAGCAAATATGGCTATGAATGTCTTTCTAAGAAAACCAAGGTGTTTTTAGCTTCCATGAAGACAGTTGCTTTTAAGCACACAGGAAATATCTGATGATTATTAGATTACCAAACTATGTGTTGGGTATTCATTGTCAATGAACTGTCACCGCAAAAATGCTGAATCTCTATATACACAGGAACAGAACACAAAAAGGTATACAAGTCAAAATCATCAGGCTGTTTCCAGGTGCATTCCTCAGGCAGCTGCAGAAAGGTGAACTGGAATCAAAATCAGACAAGCAGAGCACACTGGCCAAGCAAATAGTTTACACTTTAACCTTAGCACACACTCTATTGCTGTATAAATATGAGTATATGCATAAAGATTTTGCAACTGCCATGTCCCTGTAAGCTGTAGTCTCACTTGAGAAGTACTGGGGTACAGAGATGAATGTGAACTGCTAATTTCAGGTCTATTTCAAGTTAGCTTTAAGTATTCTATGAAGGACCACTTTAACGTTCCCTTTTATTTTTTTATATTTTTAATTTTAGCAGTTTGTACTTTAAACTTTTCCTCCCTTATCAATAGTTTTTTAAATTTCTTTTTAACTTTGTTTTTGACAATTCTCTCATTTAGATAACAGAGAATGGAAAGGAAAATTAAACTATGTCAAGATAAATTTTTGTTTTAATTATGTAAGGCTTGTAACAAGAAACAGTCAATTAGAGAGCATACCTATCAAATTCAAATAACAAAACAATTTTCCATGACCAATTTTCAGGAAACGAACACCGTGCTTCCTTCTGCAGTTGTAAATCAGACATGTTAGGCATTTTTCTGCCATAAAATTATGGAAATGTAGCCAAGTTGTTATGGTAACCATACGTTCTTGATTTAGGGGCTTATATATTTTTTAAATTTTGACTTGTAGTGACATTTTGCATCACAAACATTTTATATTTCTGTTTTTAAAAGATAGCTCTGGAATTTGTTTTTATAATGGTATTAAGTTTGATATGCAAAGTCTGCTTATGTGTCAGACTTTGTACACATATGCAAGCATGATTTTCTGCAGATGAATTCTAGAAATGAAATAAAATATTATAGAGAGCATATGCATTGTGCTTAGTATTTAAATACTTTCCACATTTTCTTAGTAGATTTTTTAAAGCCTAATTAAGAGCACTTGAAGACATTTATATGACCGTGAGAAAAAGAACATTAAAGTACATTTTTTTTTTAGCTCATTGAAGAATGGTTTACAGATAAATGTAAGACCTAATTAACCCTTACTAGAAAGTGAGAGTACGCAATCAGGACTTTCAAGTAGTCCAGTAGCAAAGCAATTAGCTAATGTTATACCTGAAAAAAATCATCACAGTTCATCCACCCCTCCCCCATCCTCACTGACACCAACCCTCCCCCCACCTCCCAAGCCAAGTACTGATCATTTTCATGAAAGTGTCTCTCTACTACATGGACAGATTTTGTCTTATGAAAATAATGTTACTACTTGGAAATTTGCTATCATTTGGAAATGATTTTTTATTGAATCACTAAAGACTACTTTCCAAGCCTATCTGTTTGCCTTTCGCCTCTGATGCACCTTCTTTTCCATTTCCTGCAGCCCGGGTTCAAGTCGGGTGTCGCGAATTGCGTTCCACCAAATACATCTCTGATGGTCAGTGTACCAGCATCAGCCCTCTCAAGGAGCTGGTGTGTGCTGGAGAGTGCTTGCCCCTGCCCGTGCTTCCCAACTGGATTGGAGGAGGCTATGGAACAAAGTACTGGAGCCGGAGGAGCTCCCAGGAGTGGAGGTGTGTCAACGACAAAACGCGGACCCAGAGAATCCAGCTGCAGTGTCAAGATGGAAGCACACGCACCTACAAAATCACAGTGGTCACAGCCTGCAAGTGCAAGAGGTACACTCGACAGCACAATGAGTCCAGTCACAACTTCGAGAGCATGTCGCCTGCCAAGCCAGCCCAGCATCACAGAGAACGGAAAAGGGCCAGCAAATCCAGCAAGCACAGCATGAGTTAGAACTCAGACTCAAAACTGGACTCACTAGTAACCATCTGCTTTACAGATTTTATTGCTTGGAAGACTCAAGCCTGCCATTGCTATTTTCTCACTCGAAAATATATGTTTTCTGCTTTGATCATAACCATCAGTCTGTCCTAAGTAGCAGGACCTCCTTTGGGAATCAATTTGCCTTTCAAGTTTTCCAACATGTTTGCATATCCATGAGAGCAATTTGCATTACATTTCATGAATCCCATAGTTTTAATTCCCTGGGGTTCCTTAGAGACTATATATGGAGATGCTGTATATATCGATATATGAATGTATGTGGATGCTTACATACATATCACTACATCACTCCTTTTGAAAAGAGAAAATGTCTACCAGTTACTCTTTATTCTGTACCCCCAAAACACAAACATAACTCCTTCAAAACTAAAAAAGTTAATCAAAATGGTTGCCTTGGACAGTAACACTTCAGAAAGGTGCTTTTTGGTAACCTGCATGGGAACAGTTTCTCAACTATAAGTAGACTCCCTTTGAACGACCCTGTGACATTTTCCTTCAAACATAAGCCCTGTAGCCTTTTACAGTCTTACCATATGAAATTATACCCTGCATGCTGACCCTTGCTTGGAATGGAATGCCAGGAATGCATGGCAGCAGCTAATAAGTAAAGCTGATTAACTATTTATTTGTCAATGTTATTATTTAATGAGCTTTCACATGTGATTTTTTCAAAATGTTAATTTTGTGTGTTTTGAAGCTTTTTCATGTACCTAAATATTTTCCTGTATGATTTGTGATTGATCTAGAAATATGAGAGTACTTGTAGATATGTAAAATAAATATTTTAGTCTCCTTATTGCATATGTGTTTTATCATAAACTATATCAATAGTATGGATCTTTTTAAATCAGTAAGAAGCTTTATAAAACTGAATATGTAACACTTTCTTGTTTAATCTGTGCAATGAGAAGTTGACTTGGCCTTCAATTCCATTGACTTCTTTTAACAAAAATAAACACTACTTACTACTAAAAGTCTTCTTTGTCTTTAATGTGAGAAAAAAGTACAGGGTGTCAAAAATTGAGAATAACTCTATCAAAGTAGCAATTTTTTTTTTTACTTTTTGGGTCACACCCGGTGATGCTCAGGGATTACTCCTGGCTTGGCACTCAGGAATCACTCCTGGAGGTGCTCAGGGGACCATACGGGATGCTGGGAATCGTACCCGGGTCGGCCGCGTGCAAGGCAAACGCCCTACCCACTGTGCTATTTGCTCCAGCCCCCAAAGTAGTAATTTTTTAATATGATGTGTTCAAGTTTTGACAGAAATTTCTGCACTGAGAAGTGAGACCATCTTTTCAGTAAATGGAAAGAGTGAAAAAGTTGGGTGACAATCCAACAGTGAACAGTAATGAGAATATCAGATTTACACAGACATAGATGCCAAGTCTGTTGTACATTATAATCACCTGGGGAAGAAATTATAAGACCCAATGCCCAGATTGTCATACAATTACATCATGATTTCTAAGAATGGAACTCACATATTAGCAGTTTTTAAAGTTTTCCAGGTGATCTGAATGAGCACCTAAATTTGGGAGAGGGAATTCTGAAGAAATTACTCTCATTTTAGGGAACTTTGAAGACAATCACATAGCCTCTAAACCAAAAAATAAAACCAAATTAAAAACAACACAGCAAAAAAAAAAGCTATTTAGTATTTTCAGTTTTGACATGTTATATTAAGCAACATATTTACAGCCTTGAACCCGATTAAACAATTAAATAATTGATGTGCCAATTCAATCAAATGAGTGATCACATCATGCCAAAAAGATGAAAACCAAAGTGGTAGGTTACATAATCATAGTATCTTCTGGGTTTTTCCATTAAAATAATAAGCAGTAAGGAGTCCATAGTGGATTTTTGCAGCAAGTTGACATTTTTTATAATTACAATACAACTACCACATGCATTTTACATAGACTATTCAGGGAAGAAGAAGAAGAAGGAGAAGGAGGAGGAGGAGGAGGAGGAGGAGGAGGAGGAGGAGGAGGAGGAGGAGGAGAAGAAGAAGAAGAAGAAGAAGAAGAAGAAGAAGAAGAAGAAGAAGAAGAAGAAGAAGAAGAAGAAGAGAAAAGAAATATTGTTCCTTAAAAAAAAAGAAAAAGAAAAAGTATAATGTCCCTTTGCTATGAGAGGTAAGGTAGTCTCAAAATATATAAAATAAATAAAATATGTAGATTTCACGATAATGTTAACTACTGTATCATCAGATAAGGCAATGGTTAATAGTCTATTATTGATTTAACTTCCAAATTAATATTAAGATTTTAAACTATTTAATATTATATTATTATATTAATATGTGAAGCAGTGAGTATTATAACATCATAGATAATATCAAAAATGTATGGTTACATACCTTTTTCAGCTTTGAATGTGGGACATTTATTACATTTCAGGAAATTTAAGACATGTTAGCAATTTTTCTTTCTTTTTTTTTTTTTTTTTTGCTTCTTGGGTCGCACCCGGTGGTGGACAGGGTTTACTCCTGGCTCATGCACTCAGGAATTAATCCTGGTGGTGCTCAGGGGACCATATGTGATACTGGGAATCAAACCCAGGTTGGCTGCGTGCAAGGCAAACACCATACAACCTGTGCTACCACTCCAGCCCTTAATTTTTCTTTCTTAACAAGAAATTTTCTTCTTCATTAGGTCTTACAGATGATCCAGAAGTTAGTGAGTTCTCAGATCTTAGGCATGTAAGGAACTTTACCAGATAGTGCATTTTCGCAATCAAGAAGAATAGTTTTCTATTTCTAATAAATGTGAAAACAAATGTTAAAACCATTGATTTCATTTCTAATAGTGTTTTAGTAAATAAATGTCTGATGAAATGAAACAATAAAAGAAGCTTATAAATATAGTTTGTTCAGTCTCTTTTAAGTCAAGAATGGATCCATTTCTCACTGTCAAATTTAATTTAAAGTTCCATTTCAGGCCATGTTACATTGGTGATGCACTTATTGCATGATATTTAACAGCAAATGACAAGAAAAAGTCAGCAATCAATAAGAAAGAGCTGAGATAAAATCAGGCTCTCGGTGAAGTGAAGCTAAAATTCATGGAAACCATAACTTTGTAGTTGCTACTCAAAATACTAAAAGTTCAGACATTTGAATTGCTAATTACAATTCAAGCTGAGGGTTTTTTTTAATTCATTTACTCACACATTCCAATTGGACTAAATGCTTCATGACTTATCCTTAACTTTATAATTATCATTTTCAAAATGATGAATCATAAGTTTAACAGTCTGGCTTTAATTTACATTCATAATATTTATCTGTAAAGGAGTAATTTGTCAAATTTATTATGGCTAACATGAATAAAGGACAATTTTAGGTGACTTGATAGAAATGTATATGTAAATATATGAACATGTATATATCAATAGCTATTTATATTTAAATCACAAGAATAAAAGATTAAAAAAGCATACATATAATGTGCTAGACTTAAGAGAAATATAGACATGGGGCTAAAAAACTTTATACCTTTTTGAAAAAAAGTGTCATCACAATACATACACTTGTATGTATTTATTCACTGTCACTGTCACTGTCCTCCCGTTGTTCATCGATTTGCTGGAGCAGGCCCAGTAACATTGTGAGGCTTGTTACTGTGTTGGCATAGCAAATATGTCACGGGTAGCTTGCCAGGCTTTGCCGTGAAGGCAAGATACTCTCGGTAGCTTGCCAGGCCCTCCAAGAGGGCAGAGGAATCGAACCTGGGTAGGCCAGGCCGGCTGCACACAAGGCAAACTGTAAATAACCACGAATTAGCAATACTTTCCCCTCTCCTTCCTTCCCTGAATCCCTAATTGTCAATACTTTCAGTCATGTTATTTTATGATACATATTTGAAAAACAATGAAAAGTAGGGTTTCTTTTTCCTTTTCACTTTTAAAAAACAGATTTATTGCTGAAATTTTAGGGGCTTGACTTCACACCTCTTTCTTAATAAATCTCTCTATTCCCCTACCCATACTGCAGTGCCAACACACCACCACAAGACCCCTGGGCTCATTCCTTACCCCACCCTTCCCTTTTCCCCTTTCTAAATACTATAATTTTTAACAAATCTAGGAATTAGATTGTTGTTTTCTGCCAGTTTGTTCACAGAATGAAAACCATTCAGTAATTGTCATTTACCTCCTTACTTTACTTAGCATAATCTCAAGGTCTCCAAAGGCACTATTTTGTTGTTTTGAAAAGAAAGGTATTCATAGCACCTAAAAGGAGAGAACAAAAAGGAATGCCCTGCCACAGTGGTAGGGTGGGATTGGGGGAAGGGGGGTGGGAGGGATACTGGGATCTGTGGTGGTGGAGAATGGGCACTGGTGGAGGAACGGGTACTTGATCATTGTATAACTGAAACCCAAGCACAAAAATTTGTAAGTCTACAACTTGTACCTCATGGTGTTTCACTAATAAAAATTAAATAAATAAATAAATAAATAAAAATAAAAGCACAGTATTCCATTGAGTACCAGCTGTCTTTATAGTCCATCGTCTACTGATGGCCATTTAAACTGACTCGTAAAAAAAATGCGCGACATCATTTACTAGGAAAATGCAAATTAAAAATCACAACAAGATATCATTTCACACCAGTGAGAATTAAAGGCCCTCCCGCTGATCATCGATTTGCTCGAGCGGGCCCAGTAACGTCTCCATTGGAGACTTTGTTGTTACTGTGTCTGGCATATCGAATACTCTCGGTAGCTTGCCAGGCTCTCCGAGAGGGGCAGAGGAATCGAACTCGGGTCGGCCATGTTGGCTGCGTGCAAGGCAGACGCCCTACCCGCTGTGCTATCGCTCCGGTCCTCTCGGAAAGCTGGAGCAAAAATGAGAATAGCCTATGTTAAAAAGATCAACAACAACTGTTGGCATTGACATGGAGAAAAAGAAAGTCAAGGAAACTATTGGTGGGATGATGTTGCTGCAGCTTTTACAGAGATATTTTTCAAAATGGAATTTCTTATAAACCAGCAAAACCACTCCCAGAGATTTATTTAAAAACACTAAAACACTTTTTGCCTCTGTGTTCATCAGTGGCATGATTCACAGTAATCAAAATATAGGGTTTTAAAAAGACTTAATCTTATGGGGCTGGAGTGATAGCATAGCCAGTAGGATGCTTACACAGTCCACATGGATTTGATCCTCAGCACCCCAGATGATCCTTAGCGC